CTGGTATCCCAGCTGGATCCCCAGCTTCACAGCCCCATGTACATTTTCCTTAGCCACCTGTCCTTCCTGGACCTGTGCTACACCACCACCACTGTCCCTCAGATGCTGGTAAACATGGGAAGTTCCCGGAAGACCATCAGTTATGGTGGCTGTACCGTCCAATATGCCATTTTTCACTGGCTGGGTTGCACTGAGTGCATTGTCTTGGCCGCCATGGCTCTGGACCGCTATGTGGCCATCTGTGAGCCACTTAGGTATGCCATTATCATGCACCGCTCACTTTGCCAGCAACTGGTGGGTGTGGCCTGGCTCAGTGGTTTTGGCAACTCCCTTGTTCAGGTCATCCTGACAGTGAAGTTGCCTTTCTGTGGGCAGCAGGTGTTGAACAACTTCTTCTGTGAGGTGCCAGCCATGATCAAGCTGTCCTGTGCTGATACTACAGTGAATGATGCCACACTGGCTGTGCTGGTAGCCTTCTTTGTGCTGGTCCCTCTGGCCCTCATCCTCCTCTCCTATGGCTTCATTGCTCGGGCAGTGCTGAGGATCCAGTCCTCCAGGGGACGGCACAAGGCCTTTGGGACTTGTTCTTCCCATTTGCTGGTGGTTTCCCTTTTCTATCTACCTGCCATCTATATGTACCTGCAGCCCCCATCCAGTTACTCTCAGGAGCAGGGCAAGTTTATCTCCCTTTTTTATTCTATAATCACCCCCACCCTCAACCCTTTCATCTATACCTTGAGGAATAAGGATGTGAAAGGGGCTCTCAGAAGACTCCTGGAAAGAACTGGGAGGCTATGTAGAAGGTGAAAGTCTAACCTGGCTACATCAATTACAGAACCCTGAGCAAGGACTCTGGTGGGTGAGGGTGTAACAGTGGTAGAGCCCTTGCCTGGCATGTGTGAGGTCCTGAGTCCAACTGCTAGGACTGTGGGGAATGTTTGGAACTATAGACTCTTTGAGAAATTTGAAAGCTTAAAAACAAAATTCCACCCCAAAATATTTCACCTTCTATGTGGTGATAATGCCTGCACATCCGAGAAGAAGGCTGGCTCTCAAACACTAAGAAGCCATAACACGTCAAAACTCGTGTGAATGACTTGGTGCTCACCAGTACTTGTCAGACAGCTGGGTTCCTAGTTTCCTAGTTCTTTCCTTTTTTCTTCTCCCTGTATCTCCTCTATCACTTCCAATTTATCTCCTTTTAAGCCTCTTTCTTCCTGCACAGCCACTCCAAATGTGCACAATATGAACCTGACACCCTGTCTTACCTATAAAAAAAATCTGTTCTTCATGGACTGAAACCTTGATAAATACTGTATTTCCCCCAAAATGTCACAAGAATGACTTGACTTCGTTCTTTTGTCACTGTAGATGATTCTCTTCTTCCTGGGTTCAAACTGCCTTTACAGAAAGTTTCCCACCACTACCTGAGAACTATTGTACGGTCTGCTGTGGGGCTAGAAGACCACCTCTTAAGATGCATGGTGGAAACAGATACATTTAAACTTTCGCTTACCAATGGGCTTATTCCCATGGAGAATACAGCAAGAAGTGTGATGGATGTTAAAGACAATAAAGTGTCACATAAAAAAATTCAAAACTTTGCTTGGAAATGCTTAGCTCAACATCAGAGCTGGAGCCTAGCCTGATCTTTGGCTTTGGTCCCCAGAACCACACACAAGAAATGTCAAAGGTGTTATTATAGCTAACACTTGAAGAAGGCATCTGTGATGCTTGTGATACAGTGAGTGTATATAAGTACCAATCTATATGACACTGATCCTCGTGATACGATCACTTTTGCAATTCCCCTTTTCATGTAAGAATCAGTTATTAAAGTTTGTAGTAATAGCTCCAGTTATTTTAGATTTCTGGTAGTCAAGGAAACTGAGATTCCCACAAACATTCTACTGGCTGCCTCCTTCTATGAAATGGAGCTATTGTGAGCACCTTATATTTATTTGCATTTGACTTTCTCTCATTTTTATTAAACCATTCTTGAAGATTGTATTTGATTTTAAAGTATGTGTATATGTGGGGAGTGGGATGTGTATGAGTGCAGTTGCTCACAGAGGCCAGAAGAGGGCATCATATTCACTAGAGCTGGAATTGAATTCAAGTCCTCTGCAAAAGCAGCAGTCACTCTCAGGCAACAGTCACTCTGAGACACAGAGCACCTTAAATTTGTTTTTCACATTGAAGATCCTTTCATACTTATCTCTTTGTTTCTACCCTGCTGCCTTGAAGAGATGCTATTAAAGTAACCAAGCCTAGTAAATTAACAATATATGGATGAAAATTAGGAAAGAAGAAAAATATCTAATAGAAAAGGCACAGCTTAAATGCAAGTCACAGGGCTGAAAATAAATTGATTTAAGAAGTGTGGAGCAATCTCATTATAGAAGGACATTTAAGGTACCCTGTCCACTATTGCTTAGATTCTTAGTTGGGATCGTCCTGGGAATTTCCCTAGTGCCAGTTTCTCATTAAGCCCATAACCTGCAAAAGACCGAACTAGGCTCTCTGAACGTGGGTGTCATTTGAGGAGCTTGGACAGTCTATGGGGCCGCTGGCAGTGGGACCAATATTTATCCCTAAGGTATGAACTGGCTTTTTGGAGCCCATTCCCTATGGAGGGATACATTGCTCAGCTTAGATACGTGGGTGGGGGTGGGGGAAGGAAGGTGTTGATATCTTGCTTGCATGAATAAAGCCTGTCTGAGGTCAGACAATGGAGCTTGCCACTAGCTAACCTTAGAGGTCTGGAGGTCGGTACAGACAGACAGGAAGTGAGGTAAGTGGGCAGAAACAGAATATAAGCAGGGAGAAACGGGAAATCACTCTCTGGTCTGTTGAAACACTAAGGAGGTAAGGTGTGCCGTGGCTTGCTCCTTCTCTCTGACCTCTCAGCATTTCCCTCTATATCTGACTCTGGCGTGAATGGAGGTGGGATGGGGAGATGGTGGGGGTAATGGGAGGACAGAAGGGGGGAGGGAACTGGGATTGGTATGTAAAATAAGATTGTTTTAATTTAAATAAAAAATTTAAAAAGAAAAGAAAAAAATGTTCTATAAAACAATCAAACCAAAAAAAAAAGAAATGTGAAACATAATGACTGTCCCTAATCCAGGACTTCTGTGTTTTTCCCCAATGGATTTCCATAGAGCTATCGCTCAGAGCCCTTTATATCCTAGAGTAACATAAAAGAGCTGTAAGCAATGGCACAAATCCAAGCCAAAGGTTAATAAATTAACATGGTAAGAATGACCCAAAAAGGCAATCAGTGTATATATCAATATAATAATTTGATCTAATTCTGGAACACTTTTGAGTGTTGAAAATTATGATTGCAAAACAGATGTGAAAACTGACAATCTCAAATTCTCTTTTCTTTGTGAAGACTAGGTGTAGAGGCTTGCTTGACCACTAAGAACTCAGTGAGAGATTCTTTAGATCTTCCTGGAAAAGGTTGTAAGATGTCTGGCAACTTTTAGGGATAGTCTCAAGTGCCCTGAGTCATAAAGAAGTCCATTGTCTGTAAGACTGACCATGCTGGAGAGATGACAAAGTACCATGTGATCCTATGCAGCCGGCTCTTCACCTCCTGAATGGGACTGGATCCTTCAACCAGATAACCCCCAACACTGGACAGAAGTACCACCCAGCAGAACTCTGAACAAATTCATGGGTCATCGAAGGATGAAACATAATAAACAGTCATTATTATCAAGCCCTAGGTGTTGGCATGGGCTGTCAAGCAACAAAGGTACTTAGAGCAATAGGGATCCCTTAGAATACCCATTTTCATAAACATAGAATGTCACAGGATAAACATAGCAGACTTCTATTCTTTTTAAACATTTATGTTTAATTTATTTTATGGGTGTTTGCCTATCAAGGTCAAAGAAGGTTCAGGTCCTCTAAAACTGGAGTTACAGATAGTTGTGAGCCAGCACGCTGATGCTGGGAATCAAACCCAGGTCCTCTGGAAGAGCAGCCAGTGCTCTTAACTCTTGAGCCCCCTCTTAAGTCCTGAGAACTTCTTGTACTTAAGAGTTATAAAGTATTTAAGTGATTCAACTCACAAGTAAAATTAAAGCATGTTTACATGACAAACTGATATGTAATAGAAATAAAATGGATTTTTAGAATGCTTGTCAAATTTTGACAACAGGGAGATAAATGTGTCACAAATCTGGTTGCCATGATACAGAAAGCAAATAGCTAGATAAATATTCAACGTCCTAGACTGAGGGTTGGGGTACAGCTTAGTACTAGCATTCAACCACCATCATTACAGGTGCTGCACACATGCTTGTGTACACACATGCTTGTGTACACACACGAGTGTGTGCGTGTGCACACACACGCCTAAGCAGGCAAAGAGTTTGCACTGAATTGTGTAACTCATCACTTTCTTTATTAAATTAGTCTTTCTAGGAAGCTATAGCTTATCTGGTGGGATGCTTGCCAAGCCCTGGGTTCCATCTCCAGCATCACATAAACTGCAAGGTAGCTCACACTTGCAGTACCAGCACTGGAGAGATGCAGTGAGGAGGATCAAAAATTCAAGGTCACCAACCACATTTCCATAGCAAAGGTCTGGTGGGTCCACTGGACAATATGAAACATTTCCACTCTGAAAAATGCTGCATGGTTTAAAAGTTGTTTCTGTATACAGAGCAATTGGTCAGTGTGTGTTCATGATTTAGTGCTCTGTGCTGCTTAGAGAGGAGCTGTTCAAGTGGATAAACCTCAAGTGAGCTGCTGTCAACCATGGGCAAGATGCATTTTCTGTGTTATACTTCTATTTGAGTATGTCCTAGGAGTCACTCTTCCATGTGATCTAACCTTCTCCTGTGTGATGCTAACCTCTGCTAGTAGAGCTAAAATCCTTCCTCCAAAATCAGAGTAATGGGATTTTTTTTCTCATTAATCAAAGTTGAGTCACTTTGCAAAAAAAAAAAAAAAAAGTATTTTAAATCTGTAAAGCATTTATTTTTAGAAGTTTATTAAGTTATAAATAACTTAAAAGAATTCTAGATACATTTTTAAATTGAGAAAGCAGTACATAATACAATAAATACAAATATGGGTTCTATAATTCTCTGGGTTTTCAGGTAGCTAAACAGAAAACATAACTATAAAAAATGAAAACAAGCAGTTGCCACAGACTTTGCCACCTAGCACACAGTGAGGTAAGAGAGACAAGAACAATGATATGAGCAAATGTAAAGAAAATGAGGAGAGAAAGGAAAGAGTGGAAAGAACAGCATAGGGAAAGGAAAGGACAGAAAACTTTCTATAAGTTGGTTCCCTGAGGTCACCAAGAGCGAACACTTTGCCAACTGAGGGTGTGTTGGGACCACATTCTCTGGTGGTGCCACATTATCACTGGGAAAAACATCCGTGTCTTCTCACATGAGCCTTTGCTCCAGACCTGAAACTTGAAGAGTCTTGCTGTGGTCCTGATGGTGGAGGAGGGTTTGATAACCATGAAGAATGGTATGCACTAGGGCACAGAGCAGGACTGTGGCACATGGCAGTCCTGTTTCCATGCCTACCAAGAAGGCTCAAAGACAACAGTCAGCTCAGGCTTTTCTTCCTGAAGAGCTTCTAAGGCATGTTTTGTTTCATAATTAAAATACATTTCACCCAACCTGTAAAAACAGAAAGAAAGCTTTGGGTTAGACTCTTCAGAAAACTTGGAATTAGGCCTTTAAAATGACAGGTCATCTGGTGTGCTGGTGTAGACCTATAATGTGAGCACTTGGGAAACTAAAGCAGGAGTACAACAGTTCAAGGGTAGGCTGGACTACTTAGTGAATTTGAGGCCAGATCTACCTAGACACTTAAGACATCATCTTTCTTGTGTGTGTGTGTGTGTGTGTGTGTGTGTGTGTGTGTGTGTACGCACACATGCATATAATCTCATCTTATTTCCTTTAATCCCATATCCATGCTCTGAAATACTGAGTGTCCTAACCAATGTAGTTTCTGTGATTTTTAAAGAAAGTCACACCATGTTGTTCAAGCTGCCCTCAAACTTCTAGACTCAAGCAGTCCTCCTTCTCAGCCCCCTAACAAATTGGAGCTACAAAGTTTTGTACACAGCTTGTTATATTTTGATCTTCATTTTTAAGTAGAGACAGGATGGTACAGTGAATCCCCGTAGGTCCTTTCCCAGGTTCGACAGTTAAAGCAGCTCATGGCTGACCATGCTTCATCTATTGGCCTCCCACACCTACTCAAATGGATGCCTTGACTCTATGTATTTATAGTTATTTCACTGTGTAGTATCTAATGACTAATACCTTTTACAAGATAACTACAATGTCCTCTCACACCTTATTATCAATGTCCAGTGTATGTTTAAATTTCCTCAATTATCTTGGACACAGTTTACAATACATTTATTTAATCAAGATCTACAAACCTACATGTTGCAATTTCTTGGCATGCCTCTCGAATAGTCTGCATATTTTTTTTAATTCAGCATTTCTAATTCCTCAAATTAGAAATCCTCCTGCCTCCACATCCTGAGTGCTAGGATTATTGGTGTGAGCTGCCACATCCAGCTCAAACACCAAATTCACCCTCTTTATTAAAGTTTCCTTGAAAGTTAACTAAGGAAACCACTGGTCCTACATCTTTTCCAGCAATGTCTGGTTGAACTGTGGACTCTGTTTATACACCTTCAAAATGTGTTGTAGTCCTATCCTGAAACATACTAAAGTCTTCAGATGGTGACTGGAGGTGGTGGAAGTCTAAGAGCAGAGTCCTGTGAAGGGACTAGAACCCTTACACCATGAGACATGATCTCTCCCTGTCTCACTGTGAGTGTGAGCACATGGTCTGTCTAAAGGTGAAAAGGCACCAAGACCGGCAAGAAAATAAGCTAAATCCCATTTTAGACATCCTGGCTTCTAGAGCTGTGGTTTAGGAAACTCCTGTTGTTTAAGTCGCCTAATCAATAGTGTTTTGTTTAAGCTAACTAATATAACTCAGTTTCCCCAGTTTTGTCTTCCCAGTGGCTTCTGGTCCCATTCAGACTGAGTTAATAGCTCATGGAGGCAGCTAGGATCCCTTGCCATATGGCTTGGCTGTCTATGGATACATCTTTCCTTGGTTCTTGTTCATTCTGCCCTAGGCACTCCAGATTTCAAATCACCTGGGATTCAGCTGGGTGTGAAAAAAAAAAAAAACTTCCCATCCTTAAAGAAGAGCAAGTCTGAGTGAAGAGCAGCCACATCGAAAGTGCTTATTTGCAAGTGATTGTGTGCTTTTTTTCAGGGGGAAAAGTCTTTTCACACCCAGTTGAATCTTGACTAGTCTGAATAGCTGGGTGCTGTTGGATATCATTTTTCCCATATTGCTATATTTTTAAAAATCTGCAACAGCTGGCCCAGAGTCATCTAACTCTACGTGCAAATTAATGAAGAGAAGTTCTGAGTTTGGTGCCATAGTTGGTCTCCTTCCCCTCAGCACTCTGACCCTCTCATGTGAAGCTCTGCAGAATGCACTCACTGAAGGCTCTGCAGGAGGCAGCCCTGCTGTTTCAGAACCTCACAGAGCATCACCACACCCAGGTCGCCCAGGTCATTGTTGCCCAGATTTAGCTTCCGAAGGCTCCGGTTTTGGGTCAGCATTGTGGAGAGATTCCAACAGCAGTGTGAGGTGAGGCTGCAGTTGTCTAATCTTCAAGAAAAAAAAAAGGAGGGTGTTGTAAAGAAAATATCCTCACTCACTCCTCCCTCCAGATCTCCAAGATCTTAGCTTGCATTGTTTCACATACATAAAAAGCCCAGGAACAAGCAGCTTGACACAGCTTTAGACAGTACGGTTGTTTTTCTCTCCCCTTTAGATGGAAAAAGAAAAGTTTCTTTCCCCAATGCACTGGGTTGTGCAGGCCAAAATAGTAGCAGAAATATATTAGCTGACTTTTTAAAACACTGACCTCCCCAATTTCCCCAAAATACCAATGCTGCATCATATGAATTCATTGTGGTTTTGAAGCCTGGGGTTGGCACAAATTCAACTTTTAAGCTTCATGCTATCTAGAAACCTTCCAGTTCTCACTAATTGAACTGACACCAGGCATACTTCTCACTCTTCAGACTCAGACTTGCCTCATGGTTGCTCCACAGTCTACCTCACACCACGTATTCCCATCACCCCATTCAGCCCATGGACTCACTCCAGCATCTGTAGCTTGCAGTCAGGGTGCAGAAGTCCCTCGCAGAGGAGCTTGAGCCCTGTGTTCCCAAGGGCATTGTTTCGTAGGTAGAGGTGTGTGAGGGTCTGGCTGGCTTTGAGCACAGAGGTCAGAGCTGAACAACAAATGGATGTAAGGCCAGAATTCACCAACCTACAGGAAGAACAGAGGAGAGTGTCCTCAGTGCCCAGGCTTTCTCAGACATTGCACAGTGCTCGGAGCTGCATCCTCCAACCTAAAGGTCAGTTACCAGCATCTGGAACACAATCTGAAGTGTGAATCCAGGTCTCTGCGTCCCACGGGGGGAGTTCAACAATGGTCTTGGCATGTGCTCAGCTTAGGTGAGCACAGAGAAAGAGAGGAAAGCAAATGGTCTGATGCATCCACATTTCCTACACAGAGGGACTGGAGAGATGGCTGCTCTTCCGGAGGTCCCGAGTTCAATTCCTAGCACCCACGTGGTGGCTCACAGTTCTCACACAGATTCCCTCAGGCAGCAGACACTCCTCCATACCACCATATCTAAAAGAACACCCCATACTCCCCTAAATATAATATTCTGACACTGCAGTGAGCCATCTTGATTCAGATGCCACCCTGGCAAGATAGCAATGCAGTACCACACACCTGTCACAGATTGGAAATTGAAGGTCATGAGGTTGTGCCTCCCTAAAACTCAACAAGCAGACTGTGGAAGGGAGCAGACTCAGGTTCAGTCAGGATTCTGCTGACTGACTGTGACCTACAGTGATGTGGCAAGAGAGGGGGCTGGGACTGTGTGGGCCAGGCAAGGCGGGGCGATGTCACCCTCCTCTCCAGTAACCATTCTCTGTCATACCTTCCCTTCTTCTGCATGTTCCTTCTCAGAGCACAAAGCCACTGATTTGTACTAATACCAATGGAATGAGAATTTTTAATTTTTTTATTACATTTTATAAAAGAGACAGAGACAGAATACAGATCTGTGGCGCTCAGGGGACAACTCTGTGGAGTTGGCTCTTTCCTTTCACTCTATGAGTCTCGGGAATTGAACTCAGGTTGTCAGGCTTAATGGCAGGAGCCTTTACCTCTGGGACCTCACAACAGTCCAAGAATTTTTGATTTACTATTCTTAGGCCAAGTTGAACACTGTCTACAGCCAAGTGTTGTGCTTTAAATATGTGTCCCCACGGACTCACACGTTTGAACACTGGGTCCCCAGTTGGTGGTGCTGTTTAGACACATTGTAGCACCTTTAGGAGGTGTGGCCTGGCTCGAGGAAATAGGTCACTAGAGGACAGCTTTATAACTCTAGCCAACCCAGGCCCCTGCTCTTTGCTTCCAGCTCCACCCAGAGATGAACAATCTCCCACTGTCATGGGGTCACCTGAACCCATGCCTAGCATGTGTGAGGCCCTGAGTTTCATTCCTAGTACCACAGAAAAGAGGACAATGTCATAGCCAGGTGACTAGAATGCTGGTAACCACTGGGGTTGAGGGATGAGTATGCGTAATGCATGATAAAATGTTTAGAAAAATCAAACAGCCACATATTGTCAGCCCACCCTCTGGTAACACCTCAGTTCCAGCTGATTCCCCACGATGGCTTATATATTGACTGTCAGGTTTATCTATCGACTGTCAACTTGACAAGATCTAGGATCACCTTCAAGACAAATCTCTGGGCATATGTGTGAGGAATTTTCTAGATTAGGTTAGCTAAGGTGAGAAACCCTACCTCAAATAAATGTGGGTGGCACCATTCCAGGGACTGGGGTCCCAGACTGAATTAAAAGGAAAAAGCCAAGTGAGTACCAACATTCTCTGCTTCCTGTTTGTGGACACAACGTGATTCGCTGCTTCCCACTCCCACGTCTGTGCCTCCCCCTCCACCCCCATGAGCTGTACCTTCACATTGTGAACCATGGTAAACCCTCCCTTCCCCAAGTGCGGTTTGTCAGGCGTTATGGCACTGCAGCAAGAAAAGTCAATAACGAACGAATAAGCTTTGTTCTGTGGCCTCAACCCAGACTGTTACATGCTGCATTCTGTTAATTCCATGTGGTTTTCCTACTTATCAGCAATCTGCCTTGTTTCACAAAAAAAGGTTTCATGATAAAACTGAAGAAGTTCTAACATTATTGAGACTTTATTATGTGGGATAATGGCATCACGTATGATTGTTTTATTTCATTATTACAAATTCAGGGTATAAGTATTCCCTTTTTTGTTGTTGTTGTTTTGTTTCCTTTTGAGACAAAATCCCTCCTAACTCAGGATCGTCTCTAATTTGTTGTATGATCTAGGGTGATTTTGAATTTCTGATCTTCCTGCCTCCACCTCTGGAGTGCTGGGATTACAAACATGCACCACCCAACCTATTTAAGAGGTGCTGATGATCAAACCCAGGGCTTTGTGTGTCAGGCAAACACAACCTACTAAGCTATAACCATAGCCTCCCTTTCACTACATTTAAGTAAGAAAAGTAGAAATTAAGGTAATTGAGGACTGGTGAGGTGAATCAGTAGAAAAAGGCTCTTTGCTGTTAAACCTGATGATCTGAACTTGATCCCTGTGACCCATATGATGAAAGAAAGAGGACTAAGTCCTACAAGTTGTCACCTGACCTCTACATGCCTGAAACATCATGCACACCCACCAGTACACTCACACACACACACACACACCCTACACAGAATAAATAAATAATTGTAATAAAATTATTAGCCACCAGAATAATTACTTGAAAAATAATAAAAGCTTCCTGTTTGTCAATGGGAAGAATAGAATCAACTGAATTTCTATGAGGAAGACATTATGAATGATAAAGAAAAAGTAGAAGAACAGGCCAGGCCTGTGGAACAGAAAACTAATTCAATAAACTCAGAATGAGGGGAAGATGGGAAGATAACTGCCCTACACACACTAAGAAAAAAGAAAAAAAGAAAAAAAAGACAAGACAAGCCGATGAAGGAACTAAAAGTAGTGGAAATTTGTAACTGCACTCTGTGAACTTGCTGGGAAATCTCTGGAAAGTACTCTGTTCATCAAGTTAGAGCAGGGCCAGGAATGGGTCTAACAATGGTCGAGGGGAGGGGTGTTATAATAACTAAGCCAAGAATTATATGCCTATGTGTGACACTTCTGTAACACAGAAAATCTGGGACTAGACTATATTATGCAATCAGAGACACTATGCTAAATAAAGTTCCAGAGAAGAAAATAATAATATATAAAAATGCCTAAAATTTTTAGTTTGTTCATTCCACATTAGGGATCTATTATGAAATAAATACACACGCGCACATACACACACACACATACACACAAAGTTATACATACAAGCATGTGTTTTACAGGATGATTTTAGGAGAAGCTTGACCAAAAGTTCTTGACTTAATGAATGGCTAGATAAATGATGGTGAGAGGTACTATGGAGTATTGTGCTCCAAACTAGATTTTCATGAAGCCATATGGAAATGTATGCAAATAAATGAAAAACAAGTCAAAAAATATTTATATTGTGTTTCTAGTTTGAATAGCTAACTACACTGTTAAGTTGAATTCTGTCCTCCCAAAATATATTGAAGATCCAGTTCTTTAAAATGCGACCACTGACCTGCATTGGTGGTACACACCTTTAATCCCAGCACTTGGGAGACAGAGGCAGGCAAAATATTTCTCATATTGGTTAATGAATAAAGCACTATTGGCCAATAGGAAAGCAAGATAGGTGGGGCTAGGAGACAAGGAGGAGAGAAGAAGAGGTAGGAAGGAGATTCAACATGGAGGACGGAGAGAGCAGAATGCCCGGCCCTCTCTCCGGTAAGCCAAGACCACGTGGAAACATTTAGATTAATAGAAATGGGTTAATATTTAAGACAGAACTAGCCAATAAGAAATACTAGTAACAGGCCAACAGCTTTATATCTAATACAGTGTCTCTGTGTGTTATTTGGGGCTGGTGCGGCTCTGGGACCAGGCCAGCGGAAAAACATACTTGTAACAAAATGGTAACAACATGGGGCACCATTAATCCCTACCTCTAGAATTGAGAGACAATACATTTATTTTTTTAAGCCCTTATGTTTGGGGTTCTATGTTATAGCAACCTTAGTAAAGTTGTTATATTTCTATCTAAATACAGGACATTTAGATAAAAAGATGGATATAGATAAATATATTGATGAGTAGTTGCATGGATCAATACGTGTATTGATAAAGCAGTTAGTGATATATAGATATATGGGTGGATGGGTGTTTGTGTATAACACAGGGTCTGGAATTTTGCTTGCCAGGTTTGCAAGTGTCCTTCTCTAGAGACAGAGAAACCTTCTACTTTTAGCTCCACACACCAGGATAATTCATTATGTTAAACTAAGTATGTTATTTTTGGGTGTGAGAGCCATTTGGGAAGACATCTGTCTGTGGGTAGTTATTGGCACTTGGGGGGGTACATAAGATGTCTTAGAGAGTGTAGAAAGAAATAACAGTGGTGAAAGCTGCAGATCACAGGAAGAGAAGCCACTGCAGAGTGGACAGAGGAGGGGAACCTATCAACTCAACAAGAAAGGCAGCAAACCCAGGGAAAGGAGCACAGGGGCGAGTGATGAATGAACTAAAGCTCCAGGAATGAGTTAAGCTAAGGACTGGGAAGAACAGGCAGGAGGGGAGCAGGATCCTAAGGGCAACACATACTACACAGTATTCTTTTATCTGTTGATTACTCCTTCCCTATAGCGCTGTGTGTGGAAACAAGATCATTTCTGCCATCAGCATCCACAGCAGCACTCATGTGGACTTAGAAAACTCAGAGGCCAGATCATACCAATTGATCAAAAAGAGCATCAGAAGATTCGTTGCTCTGGAAGCACCTGTAGCAATATAGGAAAGCAATGTGGTAATGTCTAGGGCTGGGCTAATAGGACAACACCAAGGAAGAATCATCGTTTACAATTAATTTTGGTTGTTAATTATGGATGATTGATTACTCCCCAGGAGGGAAAAAGGTATCTTGTTAGTGTCAGGTATTTGGGTTTTATGTTTTGTTGTTGTTGTTGTTGTTTGTTTTGGGAGTTTTTGTTGTTTGTTTGTTTGTTTGTTTGTTTTTAAGACATGGCTTCATGTAGTCCAGGCTAGTCAAAAACTCACTATGTAACTGAAGATGACCTCGAACTTCTGACCATCTTGCCTTTTCCTCCCTAGTGCTAGCATCACAGAAGGGCACACAAAACCCAGTTTATTCAGTACTTGGGATGGAACCCAAGGTATGATACAGGCTTGCAAAAATTCTACCAATTAAGCCACATACCCAGACTCATCTTGTTATATTTACCTTTTTTTCTGAGGCAGGATCTCATACATAGCTCTGGCTGTCCTGGATCTCACTATGTAGACCAGGCTGGCTTCAAACTCACAAAAATCTATCTGCCTCTGCCTCCCAAGTGCTGGGATTAAAGGCCTGCACCACTACGCTCAGCTTGTATTATTATGTTCTAAATATTTATCTAACTGTCATTTCTATCAATAATGTAAATAAAGTCTTATTCAGTTTGTTTTATTTATAGATATTGACAGAATAAATATTAGTCTTTCCTAGATGATTTAGAAGGGGGGGGGCGGTAAGGCCTGGAGCAAATGCTGAAGGCCTGTAAAGAGTGTAATTGCAAAACAGCCTGACTCAGGGCATCCTACTTACAAAGGTGTGGCCTGGGAAATCACCTAAGGGTGTGCACTTCCTAGCCAGCATCTGCAGGCAAAGATCTGATGCTCCTGAGCCTTGTTTTCACTTTTTCAAACTATATGCATTGATAACTACTTAGCTTGGTTTTTCTGAGGTCAAATGAGCTGATGCACACAAGGGTCACGAAAGACCAATGAGTGGCCACTAGCTGGTAGTCTGCGTTTTCATTTGCTGCAAAAGTCCAATTTCAAAAACCTGGCTCAATGGCTCAGCTGGGAAAGCTACTTGCTGCCAAGCCAGACAACCTGAGTTCCATCCCTGGGATCTTGTAAAAATGAAAGAGGAGAACTGACTCCCAAAGTTTCCTTTGTACCTCCACACATGTGCTGTGGTGCACACTACATTAGTAAATGAATAGATACATAAATAAATGTAGTGCTTTTTTTGTTGTTTGTTTGTTTTAACCCTACCAAACACAAGAAAATCACACGGCAGAGTGCCCTGCCAACAAAGGTAAAAGTCTCACTGTATCTTCAGGTCTGGATGCCAAGAGAAACATCCATAACCCAGCTGTTTCCTGGGAGAGCTTGGCTAGACTGGTGCTGATGCTGAGCTAAGTCACAGCTGGGGATTTAGAGACATGTGCCACATAAGTATGGTGTTGTCTTTGGGAACGGGAGACAGGGGCTGCTATTCTGAGCCGTGTGGAGAGGGGCAGTCACCAGAGCTCAGAACCTAGGAAGCTGTGGCTGGGGGATGAGGATGCAGAGCAGAGGATGTGCTTGGCAGAAGTAATTTGTATCCTTGAAAGTGCTCACACGTTAAAGGGGTTACTATTCTCCTGCTTGTCTTACAAGCAAGTTTGTGCTCAATGGGAGAAACAGGGTTGCTCGACCCGTAAGAAGCTCTGACTATACTGCCAAAAGCCAGTATAGGACTTACCTGATCAGCAGTAATACAACTGTCCCCCAGTGTCTTTGGGTAACTGGCTCCAAGACACCCCACAGGTGCCAAAATCTGCAGATGTTCATGTTCCTTGTGTAAAATGTTAAGAGTATTTGCATATCATCTCTGTACATACTCTCATAGGCTGCAAATTATCTCTAGATTGCTTATGATACCTCTCATGGCACATGTGTTACTCCATAAGTAGTTATTATGCTGAATTATTCAGACAAAGAGGAAGGTTCATATATGTTAAATACAGACATAATTTTTCATAGTATTTTTAACCCACAGCAGGTGAAAGTCATGTGTGCTGCATGAATCCGATGCTTCAAACCACTTCTGATGCTGACGCTGCAATTGCCACTTTCATCTCTAACTGATGAACCTGTTCTAGAGTGGCCCCGTCCTGAAAAGAATCTGATTTTTCACAGAGATACAAAGACTTACTTACCCCAGCTTCTGCAAATTACACTGTGGGTGCTTGATTTTTTCACACAGCACTTGAACTCCTGAATCTCCCAAGGCATTTTCTCCAATGTACAGTCTGGTCAAAGAATGGTGGGAGCTCAGAACCAATGCGAGATCCTGACAACACGCGGATGTGAGGCAGCAGCTGACCAACCTTCCATGCAGAGGGGACAGGGTCAGTGCCGTCTCTCTATGTACTCTGCACCGTGTGCTAGGAGACTGTACCTGCTGCTGCTCCCCTCTGCTAAAATCTGCACCTCAGCTCCACACCTAACCCCATTTGGTGAAATAGTGGGTAATAAGCCCATTCCTGCACCAGAACATCTTTCCTGATCCCTTCACTTGTTTTCATTGAAATAAAATGTACAAATGGGGACCAGGAAGATGGCTCAGTGAGTAAAGGCACTTGCTACCAAGCCTGACAGCCCGAGTTCAATTCCAGAACCCACATAGTAGGAGAGAACTGATTCCAAAAAATTGCCCTCTGGCCTTCATACAAGTTTCATGGCATGTACACATGTGCATGCATGTGTACACACACACACACACAAACACACACAAATAAATAATGTAAAAAACAGGCTTTCAATGTATGTATGATAAAAATTTATCATCTTAGCCACTTTTAGGAGCAGAATTTTATCGAGGCCTGGTAGCCAAGGCCTGCAGAAGGCCGAGGCAAGAGGGTCACAGTCTAAAGGGCAGACCCTTAGCAAGACCCTTCCTCAAGATGAAAAGGGAAAGGGACTGGGACAAAATCGGTGCCTAGTGTGTAAGAGGACCTATATTTATCTCCCAGCACCAAAAAGAGAAAAAAAGTAGCACAACTCAGTGCCCTTAAGAGCAGCCATCACCACTATCCATTTCTGTTACCTTTATTTTACAAAACTGAAACTCTCTACCCAGTAAAAACAAAACAAACAAAACTCCCCACTTGTTCCTTACCAGTCCCTGGAGGCTACCATTATGCCCTCTATTATGAATTTAAATGATTGTGGTACTCATGGAAGGGTAAGCATAGTGCTTGCCCTTTTGTAACAGGTGTATCTCAGTAGAATACTTTTGAGGCTCGTCTAGTTTTTAGCAAGTGTCAGAATTCGTTCAAATCTCTGTGTGTGCAAATATGCTTCCTGTCCTTTGTCCATCAATGAACACAAAGAAGCCTCTGACCTTTGGCTGCTGTTACTGACATGCTGAGGATTTGATGTGTGCAAACATGGTTGCATAGCCAGCAGACGCACCCAAAATACATGGATCAAATACAGTCCGACACTCGGTTGTGTGTGAATCATCGTGCTGCTTGCCATGTTTCACATGCTTGCTTCCTTCCTTCACACTCATGCTTGCTGCGGCTTTACATTCCCTCTAAGCAGTGTTTCTCAACCTTCCTGATGCGGCCACCCTTTAACACAGTTCCCCAGGTTGTAGTGACCACAACCATAAAGTTATTTTCACTGCTCATCTATAACTGTAACTCTACTACTGTTATGAATCATAATGTAAACAACTGTACTTTCTAATGGTTTTAGGTGACACCTACGAAAAAGGGTTGAAAAACCACTACACTAGAGCAACAAAAAGTTCCAGTACTCCAACTCTTTACCAACACTAGTCTAGTTTCTTATTTATTTGTTGTGGGTTTGTTGTCTATAAGATGAAACTGAGTGTAGTGGCACACAGTTTAATCCCAATACTTGGGAGGCAGAGGCAGGCAGATCTCTGTGAGTTCAAGGCCAGCCTGGTCTACAAAGTGAGGTCCAGGACAGTGGGAACTACATAGTGAAAACCTGTTTTGAAGAAAAAGAAAAAGAAGAAATAATATCACGGTGATGAAATATGTGTTGACACCACCTGATCAAGTGGATTTTGTTGTTCCTTTGCCTCTTTCTTTCTTCCTTCCTTCCTTCCTTTCTTTTGAGATACAGTCTCATGTAGCCCAGGCTGGCCTCAAATATGTAGTCAAGAATGACCTTGAAATTTTGATCCTTCTGCCACCACATCTGGTTTAATGGTTTAATTAGGTGCTTGGGGATCAAAGCTAGGGCCTCATGCATGCTAGGCAAACACCTTACCAGCTGAGCCACATTCTCAACCCTCTAGGCTTTGTTATCTCTTTAAAAGTCACCTAGAGGCATTCAGCGAGGACAGTGCACAATAAATGAAGTGTCTCTATCGCTTTAGCAGCATGTTTTTCCTATTGAGTGAGAGGACTGAGGGCTTTTAAAAAACTCTCAAGACCCGTCTACCACGATGCTTTGCAGTACTTTTATTTTCTCAGGTACCTTAAAGACAGACACGGTTTATTTGATTATTTATACACACAGACACACCACTGTTATATTTTCATATGTAGCTTTCCTCACAGCAATCACTGCCTGACTAAATGACTAGAAAACTGGCAGGAAGAAACACAGGAAGTCCTCCTGGCCACTGACAATATTCTGGTCCTCACACATGAGCAGAGAGCTAGTTGTGTCTCCCTGAAGCAGAGCTCCTGGAAGGGCCCTCAGCGGCAGAGCGTCTTAAAGGGTGTGGCAGACTCACCAGAGTTTCTGCAGGTTGCAGAACAGGTGCTTCAGTCCCACACACAGAAGTCTGACTCCAAAGTCCCCCAGGGCATTGTCACTCAGATCCAACTCCACTAGCTTCTGGCTGCTGCTCAGGACCGAGGAGATGTCGAAACAGCACTGATGGGAAAGTCCACAGCGCCCCAACCTTCACGCCAAGTACAGAAGCAGACATCAGAGTGTGGCCCCCATCAGAATATGGACCCTACAAGTGCCCACATGTTCAACCCATGGGGAGGGGGTGAAACTTCGGAGGAGTGGAGCCTGGAGGAAGACTTGTGGAGGAGTGTGGGCACTGAGGGGTGACCATAAAGGAATATTGAGATACTGTGCTCTCTCTCTCTCTCTCCCTGTCTGTCTCTCTTTTGTTTCTCTCTCCCCCTGTCTCTCTGTCTCTGTTCCTCTCTCTCCCTGTCTGTCTCTCTCTCTGTGTGTCTCTCTCTCCCTGTCTGTCTGTCTCTCTCTCTGTCTCTCTCCCTGTCTTCCTGTTTCTCTCCATCTCTATCTCTTCCTCCTCCTCTCCTTAGTCATCATGATGTGCATAGACTCCTCTACTATATACTGCTACCATGATGTTCTGTCTCAACACAGACTCAGACAACAGACTCAACTGACCACGAACTAAAACCCTGAGCCTAAACAGTCTTTCTTCCTTGACTGTTTTGGGTGTTTATCAAGTGGAGGGAGAGCTGACAAACAGCCTCCTTCACAGCTATTGTCTTCCAGTCTGGACTTGGTCTCAGCACCAGGTGGGGGCAGATGTGCTGGGGAGTAACCAGCATTCCTCAGCAATGCACAGGATGAGTTAAGAAGTGAGCACTGCTCACTCACCTGATCATAGCCCAAGGCATGGTGTAGGGACCCTTGCTGTGAGTGCACCAAGCAGGTGTTCATCCACTTTCAGGTGTACAAAAGGCCCATCCTGGTTTGTAAATGAAAAGGGTAATGGGCCTGGAGTCCCTGTCCTCAAGAACTCTAACAGTTTAAACACCCTCACTAGGCGTGAGTCACTGAGGTTCTGATCTACACGACAAAAAGTCTTTACAAGCTTTGTGGCCCCATGACAATTTCCTTCTAGGACTCTCTCCCTACACTGCAGACAAATTTAGAAAGCCAAGCTGACAGGTGTCCTCACGGGTGGGGCATGGACACCAAAGCCACAGCCAAGGAAGACACAGATAGGAGGCATGGATAGGGGAGAGCAGTTGAACCCTCTATGCTGGGCTGGTCTCTGTAAGCCACAAATGAGAGCTGTGGAAAATGTTAGCAAAGCTGAAGCAGAGCCCAGGACCAGTGCCTAGGTAGATGTCTGGTCTGTCAGTGCCCCACACAGCTGAGACCAGCCACTGATTACAATTTGTGATTCATTTTGTGCACTATTGTCTAGTGATGGCTTGTACCCAGGAGGCCACCTGTCAGAAGCTTGATCTTCAGTGTGGTGATGTGAGATGTACTAAAACCTTTAAGAGGTGAGACTAAGTACAAAATAATGACATCACCAGCACTGCCTCAAAAGACATTAAAGGAGATTTCTTAGCAAGTCAGTTAGTTCCCCACATTAGGGCCAGTGAAGGACTTAGTGGGAAAATGTTCTTGCCACCCAAACCTAGTTACCTGAGTTCTATCCCCAGAACCAGTTTCCAAAGTTGCCCTCTGACTTCTGCATGCATGTTGTGGCTGTGCAGGCCCACATTCGCACACATGCACGCACGCACACACACTTACATACCGAGACACAGATAACACACACAATACACACATTTTTTAAAGAAAAGAAAAAATAGAATTTTTAAAAATTATATTATTTTTAATTTAAATTTTTTCTTATATTTAGAGTTAATTACTTAAAGTAGAGCACAGAATGGGGTATATGAGATACACATCCCAACACTTTGGTGTGTTCTGATCCTGCCAGCCATTAGCATCTGTGATGAAACTTCCCAGTTCTCACCCAGAATCCTGGTCCATGAAGGAATGAAAGACACAGCCTTTGTTTTGCCATCAGGAAATAGTTCTTCTCAGTTTCTCTTTATCTTCCCCATCTAAAGCTTTCCCTCTAGTCATTCAGCCTGTCCATTCATAACAGAATCAACTGTGCTCCTTCAAAGCTTCCTGTATCAGAGTTCCACCCCAGCAGCCCATACTTGGGAATAGGCAACTTCAAATAGGTAGTTAAAATGACTCCACAGTGTTGGTCCTAGTCCATTAGACCAGTATCAGAGACAAGAACAGGTTGTAAGAGGTTAGAGCATGGACACACAGCTCGAAGATGGTGCAAAGACTCAAGGAAGAAACAGATATCTATAAGCCAGGAAGAGAAACCCAGGACCAACCAGTGCATGAGTGATTTTGGACTTTAGCATCCAAACCTTAGGTAAAAATGTTAAAAAACCTTTGGGGCTTGGCCCTTGGTCCTTTTTTACAGTAACCCAGGGAACAACTGACCAGACCCATCAAAGATCTTTCTCAGCTAGGTGGTGGTGCCACACCCCTTTAATCCCAGCAGAGGCAGCAGATAGATCTCTGTGAGTTCCAAGCCAGCCTGATCTACAGAGGGAGTTTTAGGATAGGCTCCTAAGCTACACAGAGAAACCTTATCTGGAAAAAACAAAAACAAAAACAAACAAACAAACAAAGACAGAAAAGAAATTCCAAAACAAAAACCTTTCTCTAGTGTCTCCTCCCATTCCTTCCCATCCCTCTCCCTCCCTCCCTCTCTGTCTCTTTGTCTCTCTCTCTCTCTCTCTCTCTCACACACACACACACACACACACACACCACATGTGGAGACTCACCACAGTCTCTGAATGTTACAGCCTGGATGCTGGAGTGCCTCACACAGCACCCTCATACCCGGATCCCCCAGAGTATTGTCGCTGAGGTCCAGCTCAGTGAGGTTCTGGTTGGTGCTTAGACTGGAGAAGAGGCCTCGGCAGAAGCTGGATGTAAGATAGCAGTTTGCCAATCTAGAAGGACAGAAAAGAACATAGGTTTTAATGTTAACAAATTAGAGCTCAGGGCAGGGCTCCTGGCACCTATTCATAGAAAAGCCTCCTAGATACCAAGCCACCAGTCATAAATGTTCATTCAGAGGGAAGAAGGCTGGTGAGCCTTGGGTAGAGAAGTTCCTTTTGAGATACAACAAAGTAATTTTAGGCTTCTACAAACACCCTCAGGCACCTCCTTCCCACATTAGACAGCTGGTGTGCCCCTGGCCTGGAAGTGCAGCTGACTGGCCCAGGCTGCCCAATTGCATCTTTGAAAATCACAAGGCCATGCTGCAACCACAGAGATAAAGTCAGAATTTTAAAAGTGACACCCATCTATGTTGTTAGTTTTCATTTTTACAGTCATTTCCAGGGATTCACATTAGAATACCCCTTACCAGAATTTCTTTGTATACATGCAGGACTGGCTTTGTGACTCTGAACCTCTGATGAGGATACCCACATAGCTAGTCTTCTTGGAAGGTTCTGTGATAAACCAAGAAAGCCTCTGCCCAGCGAGGAAAATGGCTGTTACCCAAAGTAAGGGATCCCCACTTCTCATCAGGGGCTTTAGCTACAGTCTCTGCCTTCCTCATGGGTGTGTGGTCCTAGTCTGGCCTCTTAGCCTTTCTCTACTACCGTTAGGGCCCTAAGGAGCAAATCTGTCTTCTTCTATCTCCTCTCTTTTTCCCTCCCACACATTTAGGTGTCAACTAAATGTTCACCTTCCCCTTCAAAAATTCAGATTGGTACCCTAATCTCAGAATGATGGGATCAGGAGGTTTGGAAGATGGTTGGTCATGTGGGTGAACCTTGTGAAAGAGACAAACAAGGAGTTGCTTTCCTCCTCCTACCAGGTTAAAAAAAGTATGTGGGGTGCTCAATTTTCACCTTCCCACCCCCCACAGCTATAATAAATAAACCTTTTATCTTCAAAAGTAAACTAGTTTCAAGCACCCATTACAGAGCATGGATTGAAGTAAGGCAGTGAGTTAGAGTTATAGACTACAAACGATGGGAGTTTATGAACATTTCCACATACTGCCACAGTCCACCTGATACCTTGTGCTGAACTGATATTCTCCCCAAATGCTTATTTCTTAGTTTATTGGGTTTTGTCCTTGACCCTATTTATCCACCTAGCACAAATCACTCTCTACCAATGAAAAGGTGGCAGTCACCTTACCATGAAGTGTGGCAATTGTATTTGGAACATTGGAGAGGAGAGGAAGTAAGGACCAAGGAAAGGAGCTAGGAAGCATAAGGTGCAGGCTACCGTCTGCTTGAAGTCAAATGCCATTACCTGGAAGAACAGGCAGCTTGGGGCTCTTGGAAAACACATTGGACCTGGTCCATATGCCGAGTTCCCCCCTTGTCTTCATCTTCTTCCTTGGGTGAGTTATGGAGAAACCCCAGGGAAAGTGTTTTCACCCGATGACAGTTCTTGATACAAAAGGAAGAAACCACATGGTCCATTCTGGTAGAGAGGTTGATCTCAATTTTGGGAAAGTGGTCCATGGCTCTCTGCACAAAGTCTTCCTCCTGCATCTCATACAAGCAGTAGAAGAGTTCCAGCTGACTAGGCTGTCTCTGTAGCTTCTTGGCCTTGGCTTTCACTTCAATCCATTTCAGCAGTTCTAGTCTGACTTGCTGAGAGATCTTGCAACTTAATTTCTTCTCCAAATAGGAGGTTCTCTCCTGGTTTACAAGGCCAAAGAGGAAACGAACAACAAAAATCAGATAGCCTTTTTCAAATTTGCCGTAATTTTCTAGGAGGACCTTTACGTCTCGGTTCAGAAGATCTGAACAACCTGCTGGTCCCTTCTTCATAACTGTCTCCTCTTCTTCCTCTTCCAGCAAATAGTACATAGCAGCAAAGAACTCCTGGAAGGTCATGTGGCTGAAGCTGTAGAATCTTTCACAGTCCACTTCCTTTTGGAACACATTCATCCTCAGGAATGCAGAGACATCTGTCTTCTGCAGGCCATGTTTCCTCAGATCACACTCCTCAAATAGGATTTTCTGATTCCAAATTCCATCTGCAGCCAGTGAGCAGAGCCCCTGCAGGTAAGAAGAGAAGAGGTGCTCCTCCATGTCCCCTCGGGATTGCAGCAGGCTGGAAAGGAAAAATACATAGACAGCAGTAGTGGTCTTGGAGGTCTGGGCCAGGCTCTTTCCAGTCTCCATCTGCTGTTTCAGCCCTGTGCACACAATCCAGCAGACCAGGGGGATGAAGCACATGGTAAAGAGGATCTCATTCTCTTGGATTAACTTGAAGGCTTCCCTGGCCTGCAGCTCATCTGAGAAATACTTAAAGAAATACTCCTTCCTTTTGGCCTTAGAGAACCCTAGGATCTCTACATGGCGAGGGTGGTCCAGCAGATGCTGTAGCTTCTCCAAGGCTACCGGCCTCGTCGTAATGAGCAGAGAGGCCTTGGGCAGCAGCTTCTTTCGGATGAGGCTGCTCAGCAGAATGTCTCCCCTCACAGCTTTCTGCCAGTCTGTGCAGACCTCTCCAATATGTTCATCAAAGGCCCCTTGCAGCTCATCAAAACCATCCATGAGGAAGAGGATTCTGGAGGGCTTCTGCAGGATCTTGCACACTGGTGGGTTTGGGTCAGGCCAGCAGCTGACAATCAGGTCTCCCAAACTCCTTGGTGTCCTGAGGCTCACTTCTCGACAGTGGATAAAGAATACATAATCAAATTTGTCTTTGAAGAGCTTTCCAGATGCCCAGTCCAACATAATCTTCCTGGCTAGTATTGTTTTTCCAATGCCTGCTGCTCCCTGGAACACCACTGTGTGCACAGGCTCTGTGTGCTCATCCTCATGATCAAACAGCGACCCCAGCTTAATGGAACTCATGGGTCTATTCCACGTTTTGGTCCTGCCAATGCTCAGCAATTCATACTCCCTCTCCTGCTTGCTCGGATGCTCCTTGATTAGTTGTAGCTGAGTGTAGCGTTTGTTGAGGTCCACAGTCTCACCCAGACGTGCATTCCTATCTTTGATACAGTAGAACCTGCTTCTCACATGTTTTCTGTACATCTTACAGTAATCTGCAACAGAGACAGGAAGGTAGAATTCAGCAAAAGCCCACACACATCTATTCCCCAACAATAAGCTATTAGTGGACCTATGCTCTTACAAAAGGATCCAGTAACAACAACAAAATGCACAGAGTGCTGACTGTCATCTAGAGAGGATGTGCTCACCAAGCATTCATATGTGTCTAGCAAGCTGTACTCATTGATGCAATAGTGGCATGATTGTTATGGCAGTAACCAATGATTTTATGATTATATCTGAAGTCTGCATCCAAGGTAGGAATTCATGTCAGGTACTGAAAATCCAATTAAAAACTGATGTGACTGGGAAGCCATAGACCCTAGTGGCAATGTGTTCTCCAGGTATCTCATTTTATCTATTACTGTTTCCTGAAAGCATGGAGGCAACATAAAATGCAAATTAATTTTAAAACATTTCCATGTGCCTAAAAGGAAAACAAATTACTTATTCTCTAGATGAAGTAAGGATTGGGTTAGAGAAATAGGGGATACAATTTTTCTTCACTGCTCAAGTGTATCAGGTCTCCAAAATTCTGCTGTCAAGTACTTCCCACTCAAGATAGAGCAGAAAGCCAGCACCATAAGCACAGCCTTCAGCCAGAAAATCTGTTATTACATATCTACAGACAGGTAGAGATGTGTAAAGCCCATATCTGCCTGTAGCAAACCTCTTCCCTGAGACTTTAAGAAACAAAAGTAAATGTCCATCTACTTCTTCAGCTGAAGGTGGGTTTCCTGAGCAGGCCTTGTTCCCTAAAGAGAAAACCTGTAGAGTGGCCAAGATTCCCTGATTTCCATTTCCTTTTCCAAACCTCCTTTTCTAAGTCTCAAAACAAAGCTGGAAGCAGAAGCTTCATGCATACCTTTCTTTCTTTTACAAATTGAGATTCGGGAAAGATATCCCAGTAAACCCATCCACTCCTCTTCAAGGCTGTCTTCCTGGCATACCACAGTGAGATTAGAAGCACAGGCATCATCTAAACACAAAAGAAAAAAACACAAAGTACATCAAAGAGTCCTAACACAGAGGATAAAATTGAGCCTAGTCTATGGGTGGGTCAAAAGCCCCCACCCATATTCCTTCTGAATTAAACAGGGCTTAGCCGGGCATGACAGCACATTCCTCTAAACTCAACGCTTTGGAGTTGGAAGTGGAAGGATAAGAACTTAGGAGTTGTCCTCAGCTACATAGTGAGTTCAAGGCCAGCCTGGGCTACATGATATCATGTGTCAAAAAGGAAAAACAAGGAAAAAGAAAAAAAAAAGTAGAGGGAGAGGGGAGGAAACATGGTTCAGGTGGCAGATCATAGTTATGTCATCAGAAGCCCAGTAAGCATGATCCTGCTTGCCTCAGTTTTGAAAGGAAAGCTGTCAGTCATCAGCTAAACCCTGTGTTCCCAAGTTCAGAATGTCTTTTCCAGGTTTCTGTCTATCAGTGTTTCCTTTGCCATCATCTGTCCCTGGCTGTCCCTAGCACCCTGACTTAGGGACCATGTGCATGATCATCCATGTTCTCCTGACAGGCTCACCCTTCCCTGACTTGAGTTGCATGTATGTAGACCACTTAGGTTATATCCTGTGCTGCCATGTTTAGACTCCTAGATCTTCAGAAATGAACATTATCAGTCTAATTAAGTAGTTCAGAACACTAGCTAACTAAATTCACACAGAAAAACTTTTAAATTCTGAGTAGGATTACTCAAAGCAGTTCTTTTTACTCTGCACTGAGGCTTAGGCATCATTATCCATAAAGAACTCCAAGGAGAGTCCAAAATGTACCTACAGCCAAGAACTACATGTCCAAGTAGTCTGGAATTTCTTCCTAGAAGAAATTTGGGAATGCTGTTAACAAAAGCAGCCTCCAGGAAAACATACACAGTAGATCAAGGACACAGACAGGAAAGAACTCCTGTTATATAAAATACTCCAGGGATGCAGCTCGTTGAAAGACTGCCTTCTTAGCATGGGCAAAGTCTATTTTGTATCACATAAACCAGGCATGATGATAGCACACACCTGGAACCCAGGAGGTGGAAGCAGGAGGATCAGGAGTTCAAGGTCATCCTCAGCTACCCAGTGAGTTGGAGGCTAGCCTGGGCTATGTGAGACCCTATCTAAAGAGGGAAGGACAGGAGAGAAGGGAGGGGAGAAAAGAAAAGAAACTAGCAATGAGATCGCAAAACAAAAACCTAAACGTTCTAGCAAACCAAGCTGGCAACGCAATTCTCACTTTAACCCAAAAGAGAACTTCAAATATGGGTGACAATTTTTACACTTAAAATCCAGATATGAAAGCCAACATTCCATGGCTATACTTCTATAGTGTTGTCTGGCTTTTCACTCTGGCTATGAGTTGGGGAGCCTGGGTAATTAGAACCTCTCCTTGGATCATGCTATTCATTTGAGAGCACTAATAGTACTAATAATTACTTTATGGGGTTACTGAAAGAACAAAATCCATTAAAACTGCCTAGTATAGGGGTTCTGGAGTGGTGGTTCAGTGATTAAAACACTTGCTGCTCTTCCAAAGGACCTGGATTCAGTTCCAGGGAATATGATACCCTCTTCTGGCCTCCCCAGGTACCAACACATACATGGTACACATATAGACATGCAAGCAAACACACATACACATAAAATAAATATATTTTAGGGATTTTTTTGAGACCTTGTCTCTCCATTACATACCCCTGGCTGTCCTGGAACTCGCTCTGTAGACCAGGCTGGCCTCTAACTTACATGGATGCACCTGCCTCTGCCTCCCAAGTGCTGGGACTAATAGTGGACGCTACTATAGCTGACCCAAATTAAATCTCATTTTTAAAAAAAACTACAGAGGGAGGTGACTCAGTGAGTAAAGCACAAACTTGATGAACTGGTTTTGATCCCCAGGACCCACATGGCAGAAAGAAGGGATCAACCCCTGCAAGTTGTCCTCTGACCTCTATATATGTGCCATAGCACACACATACATGCATACAAAATAAATAACTAAAAATGCTTCATGTTGTGATATTTTAAAAATCTAAAATTGCTTAGGAAGTACTTCTACTGCTAAGAGTAACACTTCACTCATTGTGTATGTTCTTAGTACAGGCACAATAACAATTGTGTTGTGATGTGTAATCTGATTGCAGCATTCTCTTACACAGCTGTCTTTTTCTCCTGTATCACTATTACCTTCCCTTGACATGCACCTCCTTGCCTCCACTGACCCAGTGGTATAGGATGGAACCCAAGGTCCTGGGTGCTCTACCACTGAGCTAACCCCACCCCAACATCTTTATCTGACAACCTGCTGTGATTACCCCCTCTGCACTCCAACGCAGCATCTCTGCCTGTGACTTTCTGGGTACTTTGAATCCTTTCTGTTGTTTCTCTTGTTCAGAGCAAACAAGCATCCACTAGGAGCTGGATAGAAAACCAGAGGTGGGTCTTAGCACTAAACAGACCCAGAGAGCACAGTAGCAGCCATAGCAAGCTTCTGGGAGTAAATACTGCAACTGCGGTTTACAGAATTAGAAAAGGCACACTGCTTCCTCCCACTCTCTCATACCCAGCCTGGAGAAGATGAAAAACCATGGTAATAAATTAACATTTTAAGTATGCTAACATCTTTGTTGCAAAGGACATAATCTCCCGGCATTTAGAAGACAAAAGAAACAGGATCCTGAACTTGGGGACAGCCTGGAGTATTTAGCAAGTTTGAAGCCAGCCTGGGATATGTGAGACTCTAACTCAAAACCAAAGAAAAGAAGAGGCTGAATAAACACAATTATCCACTGGCAGATGAAGAGACAAGCAAAATGGATATTTATCATAAATCTTTTTAAAAAGAGAAATTCTGTCATATGTGAAATCATTATGTTAAGTGAAATAAGCCAGCTACAAGAGAAAAACATTTCATGATTCCACCTGTGTGAGGAATCTATAGTGGTAAAATTCACAGGTACAGAAAAAAGAATAGTGGTTTCTAGGAGACTACTGGGTTAGATAACAGAGGGTTATCACCTAGTGAGTTAGGAGCTTTAGTTGTGCAAGATGAAAAGCACTCTGGAAGTTGTTTGCACAACAGTATGAGTTTCCTTATTACTGAGCCATATACTTAAAATTACTAAAATTCTACGTTTTAGGTTATGTGTACTTTACTGTAAGGAAAAAAAAATAAAACAAAAAACCTTGTTCACTCACTCCACTCTGGCTGATCCTTCTTAGCTTTTTCCCAGAGGTCTCTCCTGTTGATAGCTGCAAAGATCCACACAGCCATGGCCCATGACTTTTCCTCCCCATTGAAGTCAATCATGAGTGTGGCTAGATCCAAATAGTCTGCCTTCTCCATCTGGCCCCTGGGGAGTGGGATGCAGCCCATCTCAGGTGGATAATCTTCCAAATGCATTTTGAATTTCCTGAGGTCCACATCTTCAAGGTCCTCTAGATACTGGGCCAGCTTGCAGCGGACACTTGTCATCTTCATCAGCAACTCTTTCCAGGATCTTTGGGCTTAGGTCCACACTGGCATAGCAGGAATGAAAACCCATGCAGGTAAGAAGAATCTTATTAAAAAGTCTCCACTTCCAGAAAACTAGTCTAGTTGCATTTAAAATTGACTCATCATGGGGTACCCCATGGGTTAGCACAGGTTTTGAAGTTTCTTAACTCAGAAAACTCAAAGGGGTAAAAAAAATCACTGGGCTCTATGAATCACCACCTCTGAGTTTGGAAATTAAACCAAATACTTACCAAAAAGTTCTCTTAGCCTGATCCCGGAGTATGTCCTGAGCCATGGAAGAAAAGTTCCTCTGTGGAGATCAAAACAAATAAGCCATCAATACAATCAGCTACAGTGCACGGTGAACAAGCATACACGGGAGCACAGAACTGTGGTCCCGTGTGGTGACCAGGCTGGGACCTGGACACTCCTCACTGTTACTCAATTTCAGCTTCCTCGTTTACTCACTGAGAAAGCAAAAGAGATTGCTTTCCCACTTCTTTTGATGGAAGGTCCTATGTTCTTGCTCCTATTTTCATCTGAGGGAAAGAAAGGAACAAAAGGAAGGAGAAAAGATGCAATGACAAAGCCACAGAGGGGGAGGACTCAGAGCAGAGAGGGGCGGACAGTCTCTCACTGTGCCTCTGTTTGCCCCTGAAGGGTAGAGCCTAATCAGGTGGATCTTGGGTGGATATAAAGGAGAAGGGCAAATGCATACATCTCTTCAATAGCTCTTCAAAATTTTTACAAATATCATGAGCATCATGGTTCACATTTAGTTAGAACTCATAGGCCAGACACTGCCCTAAGTATTCTTTGTCATCCAGTTTCTCAACTCAAGTGTGTAGATTCCTTCTGCTGAGTAGTAGAGATGCTAAGTGGCTTTCTCAGACCAAAGCCATTAAAGATAGGGGAAGGGAAAGAGCCTGGAAAATGGTAATGGACTCTAAATTGATATTTATATGACAGTAAGTTGATACTGGAGGCACCTCAAGCTCAATGATTCCTGTTCCATTTCCATTCTTGTGTCTCCTCTTCCTGCTTCATGCAGCAGTTTGCATCCTTCCTTCCATTTATCTCTAATGCTTTTGCTGACAGCTGCCCCAGCTCTACAGATCCTTCTAGATTTTGACCTCTCAGCCCTCATCTGTACCAGGATTTTTCAGGCCTCTGCTCCCTGCTCCTGAGACCTGCTGCAATAGCTTTGGTCTTTACTTTGGCTGCCCCCACCCTGGGCTTCCAGCACATCTCTCAGAGGCATCTCACCCTCTGCTGCCCTGAGTGGATGCTGGACAAGCCTGTTGAAGTTTCAGGAAGCTATAATTGCTTCTTTTGCACCTCCCTAGCCCTCATGCCTCCCCAACATGCACAAACCAAATAACCAACAAATGGAACATCCCAGAAATATTTTAAAGTTAGACTTAAGAGTCTAGAAGAAATTTCTAGTCTTTTGACCAAAACAAATCATGCCATTAAATGTAGCTTCCCATTTCTTTTCACCCCCACTGCTCCATGAAGCTGTACTCACCCAGACACCAGCCTTAGGTTAGCCAAAGAGGAAATGAGATGAATTTATAATGGCCACTGACACTGGAGGCAGGAAGGATGTGGTTTCAAGAAGTGAACCAGCTTGCATCACCATCAAAAGCAAACTAACAGTTACTCATCTGGATGGGTTTTCCAAACCCAAGCAATCAAGTCCTGAGTCTAAGCCTGGGCTGCAGACCCAAATTCCCCAGGGTCCTTGGAAAGAACGCTTTGAGAAACAGTGGGAGAAAGTGAAACCTCAGGGCTCAGCTCACACTGCAAGCAACCCAGGGAGATCTGGGATCTCAATAAAGAGGGAAGTGAGCAGTGATAAGCAGAACTGGTAAGTGGAGAGTTGAGAATAAGGTCAGGTTCTAAAACCCCATGTTCCATGTTCTTTCCCCATGCATGGAGATGGGCAGTAGTATTTGCCATCTCCCATTACTTTGAAGGCAGATGTCCTACTCCAGGACTTCTGGACTCACCTGTCAGGTTGATGCGGTAAGGTCATGGGTTCCACTGAGCTCTAAGTGAGAGGTACTTTCTCAGTATCCGGCATGGAGCAGCACTCATACTAAACTACAGATGAAGTGGCAGACCCACATCTCAGAGACTCTGTAGATCTAGAGGCAGCAGCAACAAGAACTCAAATGGTAAAGGCAGACAGGAAGCAGACCAGACACACTCAGGAAGACAGGAGCCTACTGACTGACTGTTCATGAGAATTTTTTTTTCTTTTTTTTTGGTTATTCGGGTATAAATCGGGTTGACTGAGATATATTTTATAAGTAACAAAAATCCACACCTTTATAGAAACAGAAACATAGATTAATAGAAAAGGGTAGAAAATGCAAAAATAAGCCCAAGTTTACATGAGCAACTATTTTGACAAGGACAACCAAGAAGATAAAAAGAAGGGTGATCTCCTCACAAATGTTCTCTTAGCCAGATCCAGTGGTGTAATACCAGTTGCTTGGAGGTTGAAGCAGGGAATTGCAAGTTCAAGGCCAACCTGGGCAATTTAGTAGGACACTGTCTCAAAATAAAAAGGGGGTGAGACTGGAGCTAGATGGTAGAGTCTTACCTAACATGTCTGAGACACTGGGTGCCATCCCTAGTACTGCAAAAAGAAAAAAGAAAAACCCTGAAGAGTAATATATTGATGATCTCCAGAAAACTTGATAGTTATATATGCTGAAGAATAAAACTGGACCCTGCCCAATCTCACACCACATTTAAATCCACGATAAAAATCTAAACAGAACTGAAGCCTTAACTGTCTAGAAGACAGGGAAAGCCTGTTAATACCATCTGTGGTGAGGGCTTTTAGGCATCTCCTGAGAAGCAATGCAACAGGAGGGTAAATAAGCTATCAGGACCAACCAAACTAAAAAGCTCCCAAGGACACAATGAATAGAGTGAAGAAATGGCTCATGACTTTGAAGAAGACATTTGTAAACCATATATAGATAAGGTGTATAGCCAAAATATGCAAGGACTTTACTCAACAGTAAAGAAATGAACAAACAACACTCAAGAAGAAACCAAAGCCCAATAGGCATGTGAAAAGTGTTCGACATTACCAGTCCTCAGGTAAGCACAAATCAAAATGACAATGAAGATGTTGCAGACATATCTTAGACATAGAGATTGTCAGGAATGTATGAAGCCCTGAGTGTGATTCCAGCACCACATAAAAACTGGATATATCAGCCTGTACATAATCCCAGCACTGGAGAGTCCAAGGTCAGCCTTGCCTACATAGTGAGTGCTAGGCTAGTCTGGGGTACAAAGTGAGACTTGGTCTCAAACGAACAACAACAACCACAACAAAAACCCAAATTCATTAAATGAAAATTAATAAAATGTTAGTGTTGCTGTTGTTAACCAATGAGGGTAAAGTTATTTACAGAAGCATCACTGAGAGATTATTTACAAGAGTGCAGGCAGTTTACCAATAAAAGGTCTCTCTCAATAGCCATCATCTGCCTATATAAATCCTCAAGGAAGGAAGGGGCTTTGTCAGGGTCCTTTCTCCTCCTGACAAGAACCAATTGTAGAAAGCTTCTGCAGGGAAACACAACTACTGAGAGCTCAAGAATGCAACAGTAAGAGCTGGAAACATGGCCCAGCAATTAAGAGCACTTGTTGTTCTTACAGAAGACCTGGGTTCCATTCCCAACACCCACATGGTGGTTCAGAACTATCCACAGCTCCAGTTTCAGAGATTCTAATGCCCTCTTCTGAAATCCCTGAGCACCAAGTGCATATCAAGTACGTATTCATACATGCATCCAAAACATGTATACACATAAATAAATACATCTAAATTTTTTAAATGCTGTCACCATGTCATCCCCTGGAGATAACATTCTATATCTTCCCACTACTCCTTTCTGTGGCTCTAACCTTTCTCTCTGTCCCTTGTTCCAGAGTGAGTTACATGTTCCATCTAGGACTGAACATGCAACAGTCTCTCCTCAAAAAAAAAAAAAAAATGTTTTTGTCCAGGTGTGGTGGCACACACCTATAATCCCAGTGCTCAGAAGGCAGAGACAGGCAGATCTCCATGAGTTTGAAGCCAGCCTGGTCTACATAGCCAGTTTCAGGACAACCAGGGCTACAAAGAAAGACTGTCTCAAATAATAACAGTAGTAATATATTAAAGAAAAATTTTCTATAGTAAATTTTATTGATGAACAGGTTACAATCATTTAAATTACATTTGTTTGTTTGTTTGTTTGTTTAGAGGGGGTAAGGCTTGTCAGAGGACAACTGGTAGGATCAGGTTTTCTCTTTCAACCATGTGGGTTCCAGGAATTGGACTTGGGTCATCATGCTCAGATAAAGCATCTTTACCTGCTGAGCCATCTCATTGACCCTTTGGCCAGTTATGAATCTCTGCAGTACCACTTCCTGTTGGAAAAAAAGAAGAAAGAAGCTTTCCTGATCAAAGCTAACAGCAGCTTTGACCTACAGGCACAATGCTAAACATTTAGAAGGCAATTCAAAGGGCAAATGATGCCCATTGAGCAAAACAACAGCAGTAGCTTCCTTCCCCTTTAGAGCCTCCTGGCCTCAGCAGCCACAGGAGTTTGACCATGTTTATAATACCAAATAAGAATTCCCTCTCATGAGCAGGGCTCTAACTCAATAGGAAAGTGGTTGGTTATCACCTGTTAACAGTCATGCCACTATAGCAACAGTAGACTCATCTTGCCTGATTGGTCAATGCTACGGTAAAAATAAAAGTAATAATAATAAAGTTTTCATCTGGGACTAAGCCAAGCATATTAGTACTTTCCTATAATCCTAGCACACTGGAGCCTGAGGCAAAAGGATCCTCACAAGTTTGAGGCCAGCATGAACTATACAATAAGTTCAAGGCCAGCCTGGGTTATAAATCCCTGTCTCAGACAAACAAACAAAAAAAGCACAATATTAGCTCAAACCTGGCAGAATAAATTTTATCAAAAAGACAACAAATGTGGATAGGAACACTTCTATGCTGCCAAAAATATAGATATGTATAGCTGTGGTAGAAAAACAATATGGAGGTTCTAAATAAATTAGAATATCAGATGACTCAGAATTCCTTCTGAGTATAAATGCTTGCCTCCTCACACCAATTTCTGTGCACAGCTATTTGCATCAAGGTGGATAAAGCTCATACCCTTTATTCTGTTACTGTAGCACAAAATTGATTAAGGTACTGCCAGATTACTTGCAAAATGGCTATACCACCTTTGCTTCCCTCAGCAGGGTGAAAGGGTTTCACTTGCTC